GGGGGAATATTTCTCTCGCAAATTAAACCACTTGACATTTTCAAGAGCATAGCCATCAGTCATGGATGAGAGGGTAACCTTTTTCCATTACTACAAAACAGCAGGACATGTTCTGGTTCATCAGTCTTCTGAAATCATCTACTGTTTGTGAAGTATAAGACTGTTTCTAACAAAAGGGCTACTCATATGTTTATTACCTGTTCTTTTTTTCCAACTGTCAAACATAAGCCACTGATTTCCTATCTTGTAAATCACAAAATAATGAGCTTTATATACCCATTTTTTAGTGTTCCACTCTGAAAGAAGGGGTCAGTTAAGTTTAAATGCGGCTCTTAAACTTCATGTACAAAAAAGTAGTGTCTTTGGAGCTTTAAATTGCAAATGATTATATTAATTTTGTCCCTATATTGTTTTTTATCTACTGGATTGCATTTCTCGTATATCTTCAGAATTTATAACAGTATTCAATAATCATTATTTGAATTACTAAGGGAAGGAAAAAACGAAGGAAGAAAAAGAAAAAAATGAAGGAAGGAAAGGAGAATATGAGGGAAAATGGAAGGGAAAAGGCAGAATGATGAGAATGGAAAACTACTAAACAGTTGCTAGACTTGGGAAAAAGGAAAGGAGATGACATCAGAGTACACAGAACGCTGGAAGTGCTCCATGAACATCAATCAGATCAAGTTGGTTGATAGTGTTGTTCAAATCCTTTTTTTCTTACTAATTACTCCCTCAGTTTTTGGTTGGATAAAATAATTCTCATTCACTTTTGAAGAATATGTTTCCTGGACATAGAATTATGGGTTGACAGTATTCTTCTTTTGCCGCTTTTAAGATAACACCTTTTTCTTCTTGCTTCTGTAGTTTCTGACGAGCAGTTTGCTATAATACTTATCCTTATTTTTCTGTGGGTAATCTTTTTTTTTCTCTTGCTCTCTTCAAGATTTTCTCTTTGTCTTTGATTCCGAGAAGTTTTAATACAACATGCTGTGTGCGTGTGTGTGTGTGTGTCTATGGTTGGATAAAATAATTCTCATTCACTTTTGAAGAATATGTTTCCTGGACATAGAATTATGGGTTGACAGTATTCTTCTTTTGCCGCTTTTAAGATAACACCTTTTTCTTCTTGCTTCTATAGTTTCTGACAAGCAGTTTGCTATAATATTTATCTTTATTTTTCTGTGGGTAATCTTTTTATTTCTCTTGCTCTCTTCAAGATTTTCTCTTTGTCTTTGATTCCGAGAAGTTTTAATACAACATGCTGTGTGTTTGTGTGTGTATGTGTGTGTGTGTGTGTGTCTATGTGTGTATAATTTATACTTCTTGGTGTTCTCTGAGCGTCTTATATCTGTGCTTTTAGTTTTTGTCATTAATTTTATAAAGCTGTGGGCCATTGTTTCTTTAAATATTATTTCTGCTCTATTATCTATTTTTTCTCCTATCATTACAATTACATGGATGTTAGAACATTTACTATTTTCAATTTGGTAATTTCTATGACGTATCTTCAGGTTTTCTGATTCTTTTCTGGGTTGTGTTGAGTCTACTGATGAGCCAATCAAATGTTTTCTTTTCCTCTGTGAGTGAATTTTTGATTTCTGGCATTTCCATTTGTTCTTTCTTACAGTTTTCATCTCTGTACCGAAATTACCTATGTGATCTTGCATTTTGTCTACCTTTACCATCACAATCTTTAATGCAGGAATCAACATTATTTTAAATGTCCTGTTTGAGAATTCCAACGTCTATGTAACAACTGACTGGTTCTGATGATTGATTTTTAAAAAAATCTTCAGGCTTTTTTCTTGACTTTCTGTATGCCTCATAATTTTTTTAACAAATTCCAGATATATAGTATAGTCAATAGATAATGAGGTAAATATATTTGTACTTGGACATGAGCACATTTTTGCTTCTGTAAGGGCTTTTAGTGTGGGCAGGTATGTTAAGCCAGTCAACAAAGAGAAAATTACATACTTGGAAATAAGGGTTCTCTCACTCCTGACAAACACTGCAGCCACTATTATGATCCAAGAAGATATGAAGGAAAATCACTTCGCATTCTTCTGATGTTTGACTTGGGCACTGCCAACCAGTAGTATACGGTATTATTGTTTCTTATTTGATATTACATATTACTAGAGAGATTAGGTCA